AAATGTGACTGTCTTCTGAGTCTGGAAGCAGACTCTCTGGAGCAGAAAGCGCGAGTGTGTCAGTGTTTGAGCGAGAACATCCAGAAGCAGCTGCGGATCTTTCACGGACGACAGACGTTTCGTTTACCTCAGCAGGTAAAGCACAGCTCGCTTGTTTCTTAAACCCTCAAGGCTCCCTAAGGACATTTATTTGAGGCAAACTCATTTTATTTTGAGTTTAAAAATATGTCCTCTTTAATCTGAGGAGTTTAAGATTTACGAAAACTAATGAATCTCATCACTTAAAATCACACTTGATAAAACAGCCTGCAGAAACACTTTGATTGACATTCTTCCTTTGTATGTGTCTTAAGAAGGGGGAAAGCCCCGCCCACCAGTGACCATCTCTCCCTCATTAGCATAAACAGCCCTGAGTGAGAAGCAGCCATCTGACATTAGAGTGTTTGAGCTGCTGGAGAGAATGTCAGCATAGACTAAGAGGATTATAAATGTGGAGTTTTAGATGAGGGCGAAGCAGTGGCGCAGTAGGTAGTGCTGTCGCCTCACAGCAAGAAGGTCGCTGGTTCAAACCTTGGCTCAGTTGATGCTTCTGTGTGGAGTTTGCATGTTCTCCCTGCATTCACGTGGGTTTCCTCCGGGTGCTCCGGTTTCCCCCACAGTCCAAAGACATGCGGTACAGGTTAATTGGGTAGGCTAAATATCTGTAGTGTATGAGTGTGTGTGTGTGTGAATGAGAGTGTGTGTGTATGGATGTTTCCTAAAGATGGGTTGCGGCTGGAAGGGCATCTGCTGCTTAAAAACACATGCTGGATAAGTTGGCGGTTCATTCTGCTGTGGCGACCCCGGATTAATAAAGGGACTAAGCCGACAAGAAAATGAATGAATGAGTTTTAGATGAAGCAGAAATGAACACTGGAGTCTCCAGACTGACACATCCTGACACTCTTCTTTGATATTTTCAGTTTTTCACAGCGATATATTTAGTCCTGTTTTGGATCTGCCACTATGCTGATGCACAGACATTTGTAGCTCCGCCTCCTTTTGAAAAGAGCACAATCTCGTTTGAATTTAAAGCGCCCGAAATGGCAACATTTCAAATCAAAGCCTAACATGGGAAGTTTCAAAGAGCTTACGTAAAAAATGATGTGTATTATTTTGCGCTGAAACTTCCCACACCAATGTTTGTCATTTAAAATACCATTCATGGAAGTCTGAGATATCTAGCAGCACTATTCCACATTGACTGGAGCCCAGAGTTAGACCAGAGTCAGATGTGGCACCTGCTATCATTTATTCCTCTGCTCTCCATTCACATGAAAGAGAAGGTGTGCGTTGATCACAGATGCTTTTATCTGCCTTTGAATCACCTTTTCCACTCATTTCCTCACTTCTCTTGCTTTATGCCTCTCTTCATGTCTCTTCTACCGTTGGCTCTGCATGTCTGTTTGTTGGTGGGTTTTCCAGACGACTCTTTCTATTTCTCCCCCATGTGCAGGATCAGCGTGTGTGCTTTTGGATAAGGTTTTTCAAAGCGACCCAAAAATGAGTTTCATTGTTAAGAAGCTTCTTGAAAAAAAATTCTACAGTGTGAGAAATTTTTCACAGTATTTCCCAAAATATTTTTTCTTCTGGAGTAAGTCTTGTTTGTTTTGATTTTCCCTTCAGTTTCCCTGTTATGACAGATGCAGGATCTCAGAGGGAACGTATGCTCATTAGGGGTGTAACGATACACTCAGCTCATGATACAATGTGTATCACGATATAATGTTCACGATTCGATATGTATCACGATATTTGGAATAAAAATTGAAAATTAAACTGAAATGCAAATTTTATTAAAAAATATTTAATTACCAAGTAAACTGTTTTTTATACATTTCTTTTGTTTCAACTTGTTAAACTGAACCTTCTTTAAGAAAATAAATCAAACAGGACTGTCTCTGGAAAATAAAACAATTTAAAAACTTCTTATAAAATATTATTGAAATGATTCAATTCAATTGAATTTAACAGTAAGAGCTTAAGGCTTTGCTTGGTCACTTGCGTTTTTTTGTGTGTGCAATCTACATTTCCAGGTAATCCGCAGTTCTATAAAATAATCCTGATCTGATGTGTGTCTGTCTGAGAGGTTTTTATGGATGGCTGTCTTCATGTTGGGCATGATGAGTGACAGGGTGGCCGTCTTTTCATTACACAGGACAGTCGTGGCTCTTTTCAGCAGTTTAGGCAGGTTTACTATTTCTTCGGCGTCGCTGATGTCGGCGCTATCAAGTGTATCATGTTGACGTGCATCAAGTGTATCATGTTGACGTGCATTTTTGTGTACCTCTGTACTCAAAAGAGTTCATGCTCGTCGTAATCATAACTCTAAAATGCGATATGATTATTTAAATAATGTGCACGCTTTCGGTTTCATTTCCACTGCTGTCCATACTTCCCACGCGGCTCCTGAACGATCACTCTGTTCCACAAACTGGATGTTGTTTACTACTTTATTACCTGTTAGTCACAACCTGCACGCGCGCGCGTCTATCATAGTCCGCCCTGTGTAGTAACAGCTCACGGTCAGCTCACGTCATGTGTGATTTTGCGGCCGCCATTACATCATTATATGAAGACAGAATGATATTTTAGGGTGAATTGTACCTTATAAATACAGTATGTGACTCTTTCAACACCATTAGGAGGTATCCATGTCGCTGTGCAAAGTATGTAAATCACTGTGAAGACTTTAAAACTTAGGCTATGTTTGACCCAGTATGCGTGTCAAAAAGCGGACGAGTCTTAAGCAATGACTGTACAACCGAAATGTTGCCAGACGTCTGATTTTGAGAGGATGGGTCATCTTCTATTTCAGCTCCACTCATCTTGTCTGCTAACATTACTGCTGCTGCAATCTGAACTCACGTGCGACAGCAGGTGGAACGTAGCTCACGTGCAAACAGCTCAACTAATAAGAGAAAACGGACGTCATATCTTAATCAAATCGTCTTAACGCCACGATGCATATTGTGGCATTTTTGCATCGCAATAAATCGTACAACGATAAATCGTTACACTTTTTGGTTTTGTCCTGAGATCTCTGAGTTTTGGCAAAATATTTTTCAGTTTTGTTCAAATGTTTTGGGAGAAAACATTAGTCCAGATATTGAATTAGCCCTGTTTGGATGCTCTGACCCTGTGTTAGCATGGTTGCATAATTAGCAAATGTCCATTATGCTTGGAATGGTGGTGGCTAAAAGGGTGATCTTGATGGATTGGAAGTCCACCTATGGCTGACTGAAACGCTTGCTGCTCTTAAGCTTGAAATAATTAATTTTGCAAGGCAGATGCTTCTAAAAATTTTGAGAAAATCTGTGGCCTCTTCCTTGCTTATCTATTTAAGTGTTGAAAGTAGAGTGCTTATAATTCATGGACAATTTCACTCTTTCTTTTCAATGTTTTGAGTTTGATCAAGTAAAACTTGATGTACATTATTTACACTATATGGTGCATGTTTGGATTTTTATTTTTATATATTTTTTATTTAATTCACTTATTAAATTTTTAATTTTTAATTTTTATTTTCTGTATTTTTTCTTTATTTGTATACGTGAAGTTTATTTATAAACTAATTTCGAGAGGATCACTTGATTACGATTGAACACAGCTGGTTCTGCATTAACTATGTATGATCCACCAATCAGACGATTCCTAACCCACTATAAAGAGCCAGGGTTTTTTCACTACAGTCCTCTTCAATTTTGAAGAATCCCCCCTTCCACCCCTGCTCCTCCACCTTTCCCTTCATAGGGCGGCACGGTGGCCCAGTGGTTAGCACTGTTGCCTCACAGCAAGAACGTCACCGGTTCTAGTCCTTTAACAGGCCGGCGGTTGTTTCTGTGCGAAGTTTGCATGTTCTCCCGTGGGTTTCCCCCGGGTGCTCCGGTTTCCTCCCACATTCCAAAAAACATGCACTACAAGTGAATTGATCAATCTAAATTTAGCACTACAGTCAAACTCTCATCCAGCAGCATATCTCTTCATAGCAATCATTTGAGTCATCAGCTCTTATCAAAAAGGGGGAGTAGTCGAGATCTACCTGAGCTCAAAGCTCCTCTCTCGCACTGCAAACGGGAGGGAGCCCAGGGCTCAAGAACCTTTTGAGTTTAAGGCTCTTACCCAGGAACATTCTCGTGGTGCTTCGGTGTTGATGGTCAGTGAACTTGTGAACTTTTGTACCTGTTGTTTTGTTTCGTTGAGGAAATCCCTAAACACACTGAAGCTCTGCCATCTGGGACGCCAATTATAGAGCTTCTGAGAACTTCCCCATGTGACAGCTTCCTGTCTGCACTCGTGACAGATATACCTTATTTCCCTGAGTATGAGTCACTTTTGAACAAAAATAATTGGAAACAAGCTGCAGTTTTTCCACATCACTTCATGTAACGCAGCTGATGTCAAGCACACACAACAGTGCACTCATTAAATTGGCAAATAATATGTGAAATTATATTGAGTATGTATTAATGTGTTTTGACAGGGTTCTTGACTCGGGCTATATTCCAGTCCTCCATCTTATTGACAAGATGTACATCATTTAATACAACAATTGTTTAGCCATCTTGTAAAATTGGAATTCCTTTTCAAAGCCATCCATCCATTATTCTAATCATTCATCCATCCATCCATACATCTATACATTATTCCATATCTGTCAATCCATCCATTCATCCATCCATCCACCAACCCACTGACCCACCCATTCATCCATAAATCCGTCCATCGTTCCATATCTGTCAATTCATCCATTCATCCACCAATGCACCAATCCATCCATCCATCCATCCATCCATCCATCCATCCATTCAGCAACCCACCCATCCATCCATCTATTCATAAATCCATCCATTCCATAGATCCATCCTTCCAATTATCTATCCATCCATCCATCCATCCACCAACCCACCCATCCATCCATCTATTCATAAATCCATCCATTCCATATCTGTCAATCCATCTATTCATCCACCAGTGCACCAACCCATCCATCTATCCATCCCATCATAAATCCATCCATCCATCCATCAATCCATCCATCATTCCATCCACCAAACAATCCTTCCATCCACCAATCCATTCATTCATTCATCACC